CCCCAAAACCCCAAAACCCCAAAACCCCGCAGGGTAGATTTTAATAAAAGATATTGGAGAAAAACTGAATCGAGAATGTTCTTTTTTAATACACGTGGTCATCTCACAATATAATTACCATTAAAATTAAACATATAAAATTAAATAAGTAAAAGATATGGTCTCAGCAACCCCTACTAAAATGGAATATAGATACCTCGGTAATTCAGGACTCAAAGTGTCAGTGTTTTCATTTGGAAACTGGCTTAACTCAAATAAAAATGAGAACTACGAGATTACAAGAGATGCCATCAAAGTTTGTTTCGAAAATGGAGTCAACTTCTATGATACTGCTGAGGTTTATGGCTTCGGAGAGGCTGAGTCTCAAATGGGAAAAGCATTCAAAGAACTTGGATTAAGAAGAGAAGATCTCGTTGTCTCAACCAAGCTTTTCAAAGTTAGTATGACTGGTATCAATGACACTTTCCTTTCAAGAAAGCATATCGTTGAAGGTCTTAAGAATTCTCTGAAGAGATTGGATATGAGCTATGTTGATGTTGTTTTCTGCCACAGACCAGATTATGATACTCCATTAGAGGAAACTGTCAGAGCAATGAGTTATGTTATTGATTAAGGTTTGGCCTTCTACTGGGGAACTTCAGAGTGGCCAGCTGATAGAATCTCAAAAGCAATCGAACTTTGCGAAAGATTGAATCTCCACAAACCAATCGTAGAACAGCCAGAGTACAGCATGCTATGGAGATCTCCATTCGAGAAGAATTTAAGAAGAATATTTGGAGAGTACAAATACGGAAGTACTATTTGGTCTCCACTTGCAGGTGGTCTACTAACTGGAAAATACAATGATGATGTCATTCCAGAAGGAAGTAGATATAGTGTCCATGGAAATTACTTAAATCACATTTGGACTAAATGGATGTCTGATGAGAAGAAAGAATCTACATTGATTAAGCTCAGAGCTCTAGGAGAACTTGCCAAAGAGCTTGGCTTCACTCAAGCTCAACTTGCTCTAGCTTGGGCTATCGCCAACAGAGATGTCTCAACTTGCATCCTTGGGTTTACAAGAATTGAATAAGTATCTGAAAATCTTAAAGCCCTTGAGCTCTACTAATAATGGAATGATGATATTGAGAAAAAAGTAAGAGATATTTTAGGCAACGACCCTGAGGTCGATATGGACTGGAGAAGATGGGCTCCAATGCCATTAAGAAGAGATGATGCACTAAAAGCTCAAAGATAATGATGCTTTTGATGGCTCAAGATTAAATACTCTTCAAGATATTCAAACACCATTTTATTTATTGAAGACTTATTTTTATGTATTTCTTTATTTTTAATGTTAAAGAGAAGGAAGGGGTTTTGGGGTTTTGGGG